TTCTTTCCTTAATCCAGAGGAAAATGGCTGACTACCAGGGGCTACTGATTTCACAGAAAAAGTTTAGCTAATACAAAGGGCTGTCCTAAGAAATGAAGGGAAAGCCCTTTTCAGATACATCATCATCACAGGCATTATCCCAGAAGAGGTCTTAGTGTTGGCTGGCATTGCTGAGAATTGTATTCCTTCAACTGAATTAGAAACTCTTTTTATCCAAGAAACTTCAGATTCTTTTTCCATAATCCAGAATGGGTCAATAACAGATTGGCTTCCAATCTGTGTGTGGCAAAGCAACACAGACTTCAGAAAAGTGGTAATAAGCCCCTCAACTCCTAATTTTATGGGGAACCCATCCTCTTGTACAGACACTTTCATTATCAGTTCAAGTTTTAATACTTTAAAATCTCTGTGGCCTGCAGATCTCTAGTGGTTTGGTTGATTACAGGATCCCATCTACCTAAAGTTCATCTATATCTGGTTCTGTCCTACTCAAATCTTAAAGATCTGACAAAAAATTATCTTTCATGGGGGTTCTGGAAACCTCACTGAACTAGGCAGAAAAATTCTGATAATACCAGACACTGGACATAATTGCCCAAGGCTATTAGGCTATTAGGCTACCTTCATTCTTTTTGAAAATATGCATGAAATAGTACCTGCATGCACCCAGCTGTTGGCTCCTCTCCCTCAGAGCAGATTGTAGCCAGTGACATACTCTGCCTGGGTTGGTTGTCAATTGTTCCAACCTGGCTTCCTTAAATGGACACCTGGACCATGATTTCTGAATCTTATCCCCCACCCCAAACTGCAATGATAAACTTATGATGAGCTACCTTTCTCACTTTCCCAGTGAGAAAGTGAATGTTAACTGGATTGTCAGTAATTAGTACCTATCTCTGGGAACAAATGAATAATGGAGGGAAAAGGGGGGGCAAGAGAATGTGGTCTAGTCTGGTGCGCCCCTAGGAGACTTGGCGTCAGCGGTCTTGGTCTGATTCCCAGCTGCCTCTCTGACTCACTTTGGGCAGGTCATTGTGTTTGCTGGATACTTTTTGGATCAGAAATGTGACTGTGGTTTACTTGCCCTAACATCTTGAGCATGAGTTGTTAAGGAGGTACTTTGACCGCAAATGTGCGAATTAAAATGTCGTCCACACAGCAGGTGAGGCACCGTCCTTTGAAGAAGACTGTCAGATGTCTGTCGTCTGCAAGAAAGATGAGTTTCAATGGAAGCTGGCTGTGGAAGCATACACTATGCTAGGATCAGTTGGGAGACAGATCTTCATGACTGTGAAGGGTCAAGGGGAAAGGAGCCAGAGAAGCTGGGGTCAGGGCCGATGTGCTTATAAAACACAGTAGGCAACATTCCTTAGAGCCATAGCATGGTTAGGGATCCAAGAGCATTTTTAATTTTATTTATTTCGAAGTCAGAAGACAAAAATGAGTATAATAATAAAAATCTAGCCTACATTATATTCACCCTTATACCAATGTAGAATTGCTAATGTTTTATATGGAGGAAGGGACCCACTGTAGCCAGAGTGCCTGGGACCTACAAAAGTCATAAAGTGGCCTGGGTGGGAAGAACCTTCAGCATAGGATTCAAATCTGACTGCTGAGCTAGAGCAAAGGCCGGGCTGATGGGAACCGCTGGGCAGCCTCATGTCAGGCAGAATGGCCCTGCTCTAGGACCCCTCCTATGGTTGGTCACTGGCTGGGAGAAGCTCAGAGTGGCATGGCCTTCCCAAGGGTCCTCGAACTTTTTAAACAAGGGGCCAGTTCACTGTCCCTCAGACCATTGGCAGGCCGTACTGCAGGCCCCGGGACGAGTCGGCTGCTAAGCAGGACAGGCAGCAGTGACAAAAACACCTGGCAGACCAGATAAATGTCCTCGGTGGGCCGCATGTGGCCCATGGGCCATAGTTTGAGGATGCCTGATCTAGACCCTACTGTGGAGCCAAAGGTGAGGCAGCTGGAGTCTGTCTGTCGATAATGATCCCTGAAGCAAGCTCTCTCCAAGGGCCTCTCAGTGGTCCACCTCCATGACTCATCCCACAATGAGGTGTTGAGGAAACAAAGTAGACATTATAATACAAAGAATTATAACTTGCTTGTACTCAATTCCCCCTGCTGCACAGCATGCAAAAAGATTCTGTTTTATTGGTAAGACGTGTTACCAAGGGCCATAAAACCTTCATCTCTGCCTTTGATACTCAGATGAGTTCTTAGTGGATGGAGGCATGTTACAGAGTCTAACTGGTCATATGCATTCTGCATTAATAGAATGCTCTAGTTGAGGATGGATGGCCACCAGGGGTGCTTTAGAGGACATTTGCGCTTGAGATACAGAAAGGCTCTCTTCCTTCCATATCAAGGGTTCTCTGATTCTGTCCCGTCACATTCTGGTTCTTCCTTTAAAATGTATTCCCAAAGGTGGCCATGTGGAGCCCATCAACTCCCTCCAGCCTGCGGATCTATTTACTTGGCACATATAATGTTTTTAAAATTTTGATGAGGGGTGTGATGGGTTGAATTGTTACCTTCCAAAATGTGTTTGCTGAAGTCCTAATCCTCAGGATTTCAGAATGCAACCTTATTTAGAAATAGATCATTGCAGATGTGATTAGTTAAAGTGAAATCATGCTAGGGTAGGGTGGGTTCTAATCTGATATAACTTCTGTCCTTATAAAAATAAGAACTCTGGACACAAAGAGAGATATGTGCATATAAGGGAATGCCTCATAAAGATAAAGGCAGAGACCTATGTGCCGAGGAGTGCCAAAGATTGCCAGCAAACCACCAGAAGCCAGAAGAGAGGCCTGGGACCAGTCCTCTCTCCCCCCTCACAGCTTTCAGAAGGAACAAACGATACTGACACTTGATCTTGGACTTCTTGCCTCCAGAACTGTTGAGATAATAGATATCTGCTCTTGAAGCCACCCAACCTGTGGTACTTTGAAACAGGTGCCCTATCAAACTAATACAGGGATCATCATTTAGAAATTGACAGATGTGCCATAAAAACCTACAGCACTGGACCAGATGTAAGAACATGAGCTGGAAGTAGAGGCCATCCTCTCAGGGAACATGGCGGCTTCTTCCCACCAGCTGGTTGTCACTGCATGATAATGCAGTGCTATCAGATCCTTTTTATTTGTCCAGAGAGGCTTAATTTTTATTTCTCTTTGTTGTAGAAATATGATTTAAATGCTGGTGACTAATTTACCACTCTCTATTTTCTCCCTGACCCAATCCACTTCACCCATATACTTAATCCGGCTGGCCCCTCTGAGCCTTTGAGTTTGTGATCTCAATTTATTCAGTTTCATGGTTTGGCAAGATCATAGAGAAATTGTGTTCAATAAGGGAGATTATTCAGGGAAGTCAAGGTGCAGAGCAAGTTACCACCAGGAGAAAGTGAGCTTTGATCTGGCCCTCTTTCCCCTCTGCCATGTAGAGGTGAAGACTTTTCCAAGACTATGTTCATGCTCCGAAGAACCATGTGTTGAGAGCCTACCACAGGCCATGCAGTGTGCTAGTCACAGAGTAAACATCCAGTGTGTGAACATATATATTCTTCCTCAAACTCTCACTTCTCTTTTGCCAAGGGGAAACAGAATTCTAATTGACCAGGAAACATGTAATAAAAACAAAGAATCTGAGCTGTAATTTTTCTGAGTTTATAAATAAAAGGGGCATTCTGTTGGAGCTACATTGCATAGCATTTCTTTGTTATTATTTAAACAAGTTCATACAAAATTGCTAGTTATGATAGCTACCCTCTGTACCCAACACACTATAGGGCAAGCATGGCTGCTGAATCATCAGTGACATTATTTTGTGATAGTTGTATAGAGGGTGGCACTGTGCCAGGCACATGCTAAGCCCCTTCATGTAGAATCCTGTTTTATACTTCATCCACCCTAGGAGGGAAGTATTCGGTTCTCATTTTAGTGAACAGGAACAAACTGAGAAACTTGCTCACAGAAGAAATGGAGCAGGATTCGAACTGAGGTCTCTTCAGAGCCAAACCAAGGCTCTCTCCATTCTGCTCCATGGCTTCTCTATTTCACATGGTTTCTCTGAGAGAGGTTGGCCTCTAATTCAGGGCCCTCTGAGGCCTGCATAGAGTCGTGTCACATGGTCAGCCTTCTAAGTCCTAACCCTGTCTCAGTGTCGACTGACCTACATGTTCCACTAACAATCTACAAATTGCCATCCAGTTCAAATTTAAATCTTCATTTCACTCAAAATTCACGTGGTTATGTTTTACAGAAATCACAAAGATGCACAGGGCAGTCTCTCCCCATCCTTTTAAGAATACATGGTTTACTTAGTATTTTTGTAGTGGCTTCTGGGCTCATGTTCTGTTTCTTTCCATGGGTTAGTTAAGCTTGTCAAAGGCCAAGCACTTTACAGATGACACCTCTACCTTTCTTTATGTATATTTTATTTCAAAAGTAAAGAGAAAAACACAGTCTCATCCCTTATTTAGCAGAGTACAATGAACCCCGTGGACCCGTCTCCCAGCCGTAGCATTTCTCTACCCACTCATGGCCAACTTCCTTCATCTGCAGCCCTTCCACTCCCTCCCCAGCACTCCCGCTGGGATATCTTGAAGTAAATCCCAGAATCACAGAATAGGCGTGGTGGCTCATGCCTGTAATCCTAGCACTGTGGGAGACTGAGGCAGGTGGATTGCCTCAGCTCTTGAGTTCAAGACCAGCCTGAGCAAGAGCAAGACCTGCCTCTCTAAAAATAGCTGAGCGTTGTGGTGGGCACCTGTTGTCCCAGTTACTTGGGAGGCTGAGGCAAGAGAATCATTTAAGCCCATGAGTTGGAGGTTGCTGTGGGCTATGATGCCATAGCACTCTACCAAGGATGACGAAGTGAGACTCTGTCTCAAAAAAACTAAATCAGTAAATCCCAGAATCACATCTTTTCATGTCATCCCCTGCCTCCACAGCCCGTCTTACGCTGTGCTCTGTCTCTGCTTTCAGGCCACTACATGTACGTGGACTCTGTGTACGTCAAGCACTTCCAGGAGGTGGCCCAGCTCATTTCCCCAAGGACCACCGCCCCCATGTCTGGTTGCCTGTCATTTTATTACCAGCTCCAGGAGGGGAATGACCATATCTTCTCCCTTTATACTCGGGATATGGCCGGCCTTTATGAGGAGCTCTGGAGAGTGAACAACCCAGGGAATACAGCCTGGAACCTCGCAGAGATCGAGTTCAATGCTCCTTACCCGATGGAGGTAGGTGTGCCCTGTGTCCCAAGTGTGCCCTGGTGGCTGCTGTCTGGCCCGGCACCCAGCACAGGCAAGGAGACCAAGAGGCTCTGGGGTCTCAGGCCCGGTCTATCTTTTCTGCTGTCCCTCCATCTTAATCTCATCCTCAGCCCCTCAGCCACTCCCCCTTCCCCTGTATTTCCTGCCACTTGCCTCCTTTATCACCTGCATTTTCTAGCAAGAGTATTTTTTTAATAAGAGCAAATATAAAATGCCAGTCAACCAACTAGATTTCTTATTGCACAGTGATCATGCAGGGTTCAAAAGAAAAGTTCAGACTCCCTCTAAGTGAAATTCATTCTTGAACTTCCACTCCTGAGAACAGTTTAGTTTTTTTTTTTTTGGTAGAGACAGAATCTCACTTTATCGCCCTGGGTAGAGTGCCATGGTGTCACATAGCTCACAGCAACCTCCAACTCCTGGGCTTGGGCAATTCTCTTGCCTCAGCCTCCCAAGTAGCTGGGACTACAGGCACCCACCACAACCCCCAACTATTTTTTTGTTGCAGTTTGGTGTCGCCAGGTTTAACCTGCCACCCTCGGTATATGGGGCTGGCACCCTACTCACTGAGCCATAGGCAATGCCCCCTGAGAACAGTTTTGAAGATTTCCCTTACTTGAGGAAAAAGTCACTTATTTCTTTCCTTGCAGGACAAATAAAGCCATAAAATTCGAAATAAACTTACTATCATGGCCTTAATTTGAAACAAGGCTTGTTGCCTTAATTTCTAAACTTTTTATAGTTATATAAGTGATAAAAGTTCAATGAGGAAAAATTAGAAAATTCAGAGAAGTGAAATAAACTAAAACACCTAAGCCAAATTCACAAAGATGAGGACTATTAACATTTTGGTGTTTGTCCTTGTAAACCCTTTTCTAAACACATATGTTAATACATATCTGTATCTGCATGTGTATTTCAGTACTGACCACCCAACAAAGTAGATAAAATGATCTCTGTATTTATAGATAAAAAAGGAGGGAACACAGCACCCAAGATTGACCCTCTGTGAATGCCAGAGAACTTAGTAGTTCCAGACTAAAATCTGACTAAACTCTGAGGGAGGTGGCCTGGTGCTGTTTGAGGACCCCAGAGGACCCCAGAGGATCTCTAGAATCATAGGCTGCAGCCTGGTGGTTACTGTAGGTCTAAGATGGCTATCAGGATTTAGGAGCTATAAGCAGAGTCTTAGTTACCATAATTTATCAATATTCCCCACTTTTCTCTTTGTGCTTTTGACAATAGCCTCCCCAGTTCTCCTTAAATTGCAAAAGAAGCAGATTATTCCTCTGGACATTATTCACGGGTGCCATCTGCTAGCCTGATGTACAGCTGCAGAGAATGCCGAGCTTGGGCCTTGGTTCCAGACATGTTCCGTCCATTGGTGGCGTGCCTGCCTCTCCCTGCACCCCTTCCTACTCCCGCCCCACACTAGCCCAGAGAGAGCACAGTGCCTTTTGCAGAATGTGTGCTATTTCCTATCCCAAAGTCTAACCCAGTCTCAATTTGCTCTTGCAGCAAAGTGGAACATTTTATGTGAGTTTAGATTACAAGGAGGAAAAGAAACGCATGTATTGTTCCAAAGGTTTTCCTTCTAGCAAAGTCAAATGAGTCCCCTACACACACACTAAGAGCGTTTTCCTTACCAACTCCTTTTATCCAACCATAAACTCTTCAGGCAACATTTATATGAATGAAACTTCACTGAGTTTCTTTCAGAGCAATACTTGAAAAGTTACGATTCTGAACACTATTAAACCTAAGCACACATCCTCTGGCTCAACAATTGTGTAAGTTCATTCTACTATTCTGAACCTATTCACCAGTATCATTTGCCATCATTGTCAGGAAAAGAGACTGGTCCTGTAGAATCAGTGGATTCAATGCCATTCTCAAATGAATTTTAGAAAGGAAAACAAACATTGGAGATTGTCTTTCTGAACAAGAGAGAACACGTTGACACAGGATCGGTGATTAGCATGTTAGGACCAGAAATACCCCTCTATCCCACCTGCTCAGTGTGAACCAAATTCTGTCATCCAGCTAGTGGCTTGAGCTCTGGATCTGTGTTAAGTCTGTCATCTTAATTTCTCCTCATCTTTGTCCCTCCCCATTTGCCAGAGACTAACTTTTGGGTCTCCTAGTGGATTTCAGACAGTCCTGGTACCAGGGCCCCCTATGACCGTTGTTATTAAGCTGAAAGGGACATTATGGACTATCTTATCTATACTCTTTTTTTTTTTTTTCAAAAATGAAGAAACTGAGACCTGGAGAAGAAGGGACCTGCTTAAACTACCTAGTAGCTAATTGGGCTAGAAGAGGGAACCAAGATGGAGGAAAAGATGTGAAATTAGTTCATAGTTTATTACATGCCTAACTGTGCTGGGGTCTTTATATACATTATCTCATTTAATCTCAACAGTCCTCCGAGGTAGGTCTTATTATGCTTATTTCATAGATAAGAAACCTGAGAGGTTTAGCAATGTATCCAGGTATCACCTAACTAGTAAATGATGAAAATTGGATTTGAACTGTGGTCTTTCTGCCTCTAAGACACTATTCTTTTCAGAAGAGGTTGCAAGCAGAAGCCTATGGGGCCAGATCTTCAAATCTAGCCCACAGTGATTTGTCTGCCTGCTATAGGGTGGTTTTGTTTGTTTTCTTCGGTTTTGATTTTTTGGTTTTGTTTCTCCTATTTACTTTAATATTTGAATTAATTGCCAGCATTGAAAAATCTAAAGATTTCAAATAATATCTAGAGAGCCTCGATCGGGGGTGTCCAACCTTTCTTTTTCTCTGCTATATGTTGGAAAAATAAGAGTTGTCCTAGGTCCCATACATTAAATACACAAACACTAATGAAAGCTGATGAGCAAACCAAAAAGGCCGATGTATATTTTCATGATATCCAACACCACTGATAAGTAAAACAGTCATCAAATAATCTGCATTCAGCCCACAAAGCACAGGTTGGACACCCCAGCTAGATAATTTGCTAGTTACAAAGACATTAGGCCTTGTGTTTGGTTGCTAGAAGTGTCTAATAACAAAGTAGCCCCAAACTGGTAGCTTAAAAAACAGAAATGCACTGTCGTATGGTTCTAGAGGCCAGAAGTCCATAATTAAGGACTTCTGAGAGCCAAGATTTGTTCCTTCTGGGGGCTGTGAGAGAAAACTTGCCCAGATCGGTCTCTCACTTCTGCCGGCTTGCCAGTGATCTTTGGCCTTCCTTGGCTTGTAGGTCTCTGCATTCATATTCACAGGGTTCTCTCTCTGTGTGCCTATCTCTTTCTAAGCCCAAATTTCTTATTTTCATAAGAATATATGGATTAGAGGCTCACCCTATTCCAGTGTGACCTCATCTTAACTAATAACATTTGCAATGACCTTATTCTCAAATAAAATCTCTTATACTGGAGGTTAGGCTTTCATCAGATGAATTTGGGGAGACGCAGTGTAACCCATAACAGGCCTGCCTTCCCACACATCAGCAATTGATGAAGCTGAGTAACACTTATCCCTTTAAACAGGGCTGGCCTTCTTCATTTCATGTCTGGACCATACCAAGCCCAACTTTATGTATTTCCACTACCTTCCTGGCCCTTGCAGGCAAATGAGCTCCCTTGGGTCTCTTTTACAGGACACTAATCCTACTCTCCAAATCTAATCATATCTCCAAAAGACCTCCACCTTTTAATGCCATCACCTTAGGAGTTAGGATTGCAACATATGACTTTGAGGGCTTACAGACACTCAGACCATAGCAGTTTCATTCTCCTTAAAAGACGAGGTTGGGGATGGTGCTGCCCAGCTCTTATATTTGGAAACATGATTCCATAAGTCTTTGTCACTTGGCATCAACTGGTTTGACTGACCTGCCATTTAGAATCAAGGTGAAGAGTACTTAAGCCTAACAGAAGATATATACACTTGTGACAATATGTCATTTTCTCTTGCAGGTTATTTTTGAAGTTGCTTTCAATGGTCCCAGAGGAGGGTATGTTGCCCTGGATGATATCGCTTTCTCGCCTGTTCACTGCCAAAATCAGACAGGTGCGCATTCTCTTTTTCTCCTTCCTTGTGTTTAGAATTTTCCTGTCTCAGCAGATGTTTGTGGTCAGGATTGGCTTTCATTGATTTCTTCTTATCCTTTAAAAATTATTTAATTGAATAGTCATTTTGCTGGATTATTACTTTTTTCCCCCTCACAGAGTGAATCTAACTGTTCTGATACCAGAAGGCCAATTGTCATATCTTAGGGAGCTTTCATCTTCCCCGCCTATTAGGAAAAGAAAATTAAATAGGACTAAATTTTTTCCATCTTATCTTTCTCTTTCGAAGATATCTTGAGTCCATAGATGGGTAGCTGGGCAGATGGATGAAACTCTCATCATCTATTGAATAGAATTATAAAAACCCTTTACAACTTTATGTATCCAGAATTTAAATGTTCTCATGTTGAAAGATGTTAGCATTTTGTAGACACCTCTAGATGGTTTGGGCTAATGCGTGTGTGTTCTTAATTTAATTACTTTCTCTTTCTAAGTGAGTCCTCGGATTTATCATGGCAAATTTTGTAATGTCGTAAGTTTGGCCTTTGGAAAGAGAGGAAATTTTTTACTTTCTGGGAAAATAGATAAGCAAATTGATTCCAAGTGAATTAAATAAATGTTTTAGCATAAGAATGATGACAATATATTAATGATAACCCAAATAAATGCAATTGACCTTATCATTTACAGAGTTTTCTTTCCTCAAGGCACCTAGGGAGATACCGTAGTCACCCCATCTTATCAATGAGTTCTCATTCTAGGTTTTGGAACTGGGAAAGAAATTTTTGAACTTGGCCTTTGTGATCTTTCACTTAAAATAGAGTTGGTATTTAATATGGTTTCAGATATATTCTACAAGCAATATTATCTTAAAAAAAGATAATATTTTCTACTAGGGCTAAACTGTTATCCCAAAATTAGAGAGAAATCTGCTAATTTTCTGAAACTAAGTATTATTTTTTACTAATTCTAATTATTTAAAGGTAGCAAATTAAATAGAACGAGACTAGATTTACATATTTTAAATGATTTAACCCAAATAATAATGAAAAATCTAAAGTCTCCAAATTTGATAGAACACATTAATCAAAATATCTTATACTACTTCTCTAAATTCATTTGCTCCCTAATCTTATCAATTAATATTTCAATTATGTTAATAGTAATATCATAGTTTTCTTATCATTATTTTTTGAAAGTTGCTCTTCTTTGTCACCACGCAGTTACATTGAACTTTTATATGTCCTAGTTATCTATATGGGAGATGAGGTGTTTATTCATTATCTGTCCTGGGTAGAAGATGGAGTGACTAGGCAGCTGGAGGTAAGAGAATCAACTGAGACACTTTCAAAGTGATGTTTAGAAATGCGCTTCCCTTAAAAAGGAAGATACAGAGGGCAGCACCTGTGGCTCAAAGGAGTAGGGCATGGGCCCCCTATAGTGGAGGTGGCAGGTTCAAACCCAGCCCCCGGCCAAAAACTACAAAAAAAGAGAGAGAGAGAAAGAGATACAGAATTTTTGTGATCTCTTTCCTACTATACTGGCTGTCCGACTGGAGAAAGAAAAAGAAAGGTGCTCACAAAACAAGGACTATTTGTTAAGAGTGCTGTTGGCACTCAGTCTGTAAAATTCAGCCCACATAAAGATGCTTTCTCTGTGTCTGCAGAGATACGCATGCATGCAGTTAGATAGACCAAGGCTCCCTGTTGGTCTTCAGAACTTCCCACCATACTCACTTGGCTTGAAAATGGTGTAATTACATTATTATAATGTTATGCTAGGTCCAGGAATTTGGATTCACATTCCTATCTGCCACTAACAAGCTACATGATGTCAGTCATGTTGTTTGGCCTCTTGGAGACTCCATTTCCATGTCTATAGAGCAGGATGGAAGAATCTGTTTCATAGAGTTGTCAGAGAGATTAATGAGAGTTAATGTCTCTGAAGGCCATACCATAGAGTATGACACACAGAAAACACTTGTTGACGAGACAATATTACATACTTTATTTTCAAAATATGTCCACTCTTTCCCAAGAGAACAGGGGTCAGATTGTAACTAAATACAGCCAGCAAAGGGTACTGCCTTGATGAATGTGTCTGCCGGAGCCTGCCTTATGCCTTTCATCAGGCAGCTGTGGGCCAGACAGAGCTCTGAGCTGAGCTCTTTAGTTTTCATACTTCATCTAACATTTCACAAATAGTTTATGCCCTTCTATTTCATAACAGGTGCCAGCATTTTTTCTTTATCTCAGCTAGCCTCAAACTTGCTGTCTCTGCTTTTCCCAGCTGGATCAAGCATTTTCTTCCCTCATGTCCCTAGTAGGCTAAGACAGGAATTATTTCAGCATATGGAGCATCTTGTTCCCACCGTCTGGTTGAGCTTAGAGTTAATCTAGTCCCTTAGACCTGAGGCCCATTACAATAGTCACAGGTGAGCAACACCAGTTTTATGTGACCACCCCAAGGATGCTTCCAGAGGACAGTGAAACCACTCCCACATTGAGTTTGAGAAGGTCCCTGTCCATTCCTTTCCATCCACACACTTGTCCTCTGCAAGCACATTTGTCCTAAAGTTTAGACTGTAGGAAAAAAGCCCTGCTATTGGTGTGTAAATTTTTGAATGCTTAATAGGTGAGCTCATCCACTTCTAAGAATCCTGTTGTGATCCCCAACCCCAAACTGAAAGCTCCATTTCCCTGCCATATGTCTGCCTCCTCTCTGGGCTTGGGTCCACCTCACACCCAGGCCAGACACTGGGTGAATCCTAACATCCACGGATATACCTTTCAGAGGATCTAGCCCCCCGCAACTAGCCATTCATTAATAACACACTACCTCTACCTCTCGTCTGCTTGGAAACCCAGGTCTGGTTGCTGCCTGGGTTACCGCTGAAGTTGCCACAGCCTTCTTTATCTTAGATGCTCCGAAGGGTATCTGCAGCCCAGCCAGCAACCAGGCTTCTTGCTCCTTGTTCCTCAGTGTGGTGGGTCCCACTCACTCTCTTCCCCAAGGCAGCTTTGAGCTATCATAGCCTGCCTTTGGTTGGCTCAATGCTAAAATAAAACCACCCTACCAGTTCAGCCATCTAGAAAGCACATGGCTCCTGGCATCTCTCTTTTTAGCACCACAGAGGCTGACGCACTTTTTAGATCTACAGGGCAGATGCTGAGTTTGTCTCCATGAACTCTGTGTAAGCGAGGAAAGGAGAGATGCTCCCAGCTGTTATTCTCAAACTGCAACACACTCTATCTTATTAGATTATCTTCAAAGCCTCTTATTCCTAAAAAGTTCAAATGTCAGAAAGCAAGTGATTAACTAAACCTTACATGATGATGCTTTTTGGTAACTTGCTTAAAGAGGCTTTAATTCTGTTTTTCTTTTTTTCCTGATCATCAACTGATGCTCAGGGGCCTCCGTCTGCCTCTGATTCCACCCTGTGCTTCAAATATGTCATTGGCACTGTCTCCCCAGTAGCTCAATGTGTGATCATCACTTGACCCACACATGTGAAACAAGCTGGAAGCCAAGGCTTTGCTTCACCCCGGCTCCCTGCACACTCATGGTTGGTCACATGTGGGCCCTCCTGCCCCATCTTCAGCAATCAGATGTGTCTCAGGGTAGAAGCAGAATTCTCAGTGAAAAAGATTCAGCCTCTGCATTATGCTTTTGAGATTTTCTTTTTATTAGACCTTGGGACCCAAGAAAAATCTTTTTCTAAAAGTATGCAGTTAGCAAAAGAATATAATTGTACCATACAAAAAATTCATTATGTGTAACAGTCTATCACCATGGAGAGAAGTGATCCTCATCACTCACAAGATTTTTTTTAATAGACTTTATTTTTTAAGTATAGTTTTAGATTCACAGCAAAAGTAAGTGGAAAATACAGAGATTTCCTGTATTGCCCCTAAACTCCCCTCCTTCACTGTCATCCACAGTCCATAGTGTCTATAGTTAAGATTTACCTTGGTGCTGTACATTCTATGGCAGGGGTCCTCAAACTTTTTAAACAGTGGGCCAGTTCACTGTCCCTCATACTGTTGGAGGGCCGGACGGTGGGCCCTGGGGCAAGTTGGCTGCTAAGCAGGACAGGCAGTGGCAGCAAAAACACCCAGCGGGCCAGATAAAGGTCCTAGGCAGGCTGCATGTGGCCCTTGGGCCATAGTTTGAGGACATCTATTCTATGGATTACAAATGTGTAATGATCTGTATCCACCATTAGAGTATCAGACAGAACAATCCCTGCCCTAAAATCCTCTGTGCTTTCCCTGTCCAACCCTCTCTACCCCCAACCCCGGGAAACCACTGACCTTTTTACTATCCCTACAGCTGTGCCTTATTCAGAATGTCATATCTTTGGAAGCATGCAATCTGTCATCTTTCCAAATGGGCAGCCCTCACTTAGCAATACACATTTAACTTCCCTCCATATCTTGTCATGGCTTCATAGCTCATTCCTTTTTAGTGCTGAATAATATTCCATTGTCTGGATATACCACAGCTTATATATCCATTCACCTACTGAAGAGCATCCTGGTTGATTTTAAGTTTTTGGTGGTTATGTATAAAACTGCTATAAACTTTCTAGTTTTAATACCCCCTCAAACCCTCCTCCACACTTAGTAATAAATTAGCTAAGATTCTCTTGATAGCTGAGCACTGTAGCCTCGTGGTAGACTGTTGGCCTTCCAAACCAGGGCCTGTGAGTTCAAGCCTTGCCTGGGTCTGACTTGAAAAAAAAAAAAAATAAGATTCTCTTGCAGTTGCCCAAGGTTGCTGCTTTGTGATTTGTTCCTGGTAAATAGTTTTGCTGACCTGCTGATCTCTTCGTACATGGCATCTGGGAGTGCCACCCCATATTTCCTGAGCTACATGGCCATCTGTAGATTTTGGATTTTCATTTTTTCATTACCAGGTATCAGAGGGGTGAATTATGTACTGGAGACCATCATGGGGGTTTTTGTGGTCTCCATTATCCATAGGAGAACACCGAAGGATCCTTGTTTGTATGATATCACATTCATTTTTCACCAACGTTATTTTCAGGGCTTAAAGATACACTCTGGTGCTGACAGAATCAGGCGGAGCAGGTGTGGGCTAATGCTCCTGTCTTAGGGCCTTGAGAATTTTCTGCATTTCCCTTTCTCCTGTCTGGCTCATCAAGGTTTGCTCCTGGTGTACTTCCTAGGGGGTGTTGTCTGAGGTGCAGTTGGGTTCTAGTTCTACAGGAGCATTTTCTTCCTAGTCTTTTTTTGTGTAATGTTTTATTTACAACTTATTTTTTTAAAAAAATTGATGTCTTTGAAACTCTTTATTTTTATATCATTTCAAACTCAGATGAAATTGGCAATAACACTATGGAGAACCCCCATTTCCCCAGATCTGCAAACTAACGTTTTGCCACGTTTGCTTTATCAGTCATTTGAGAGTAGGCTGCAAACATCATGCCCCTTTGCTCCTGAATATTTTCATGTGTATTTCATAAGGTCAAACACATTGTCTAGTGAATTATGAAATTCAAGAAATTTAGGCTGAGCACAGTGGCTCAGGCCTGTAATCCTAGCACTCTGGGAGGCCGAGGTAGGTGGATGACTTGAGCTCAGAGGTTCAAAACCAACCTGAGCAAGAAAGGGACACTGTCTCTATTAAAAACAGAAAAAAACAGCTGGGCATTGTGGCAGGCACCTGTAGCCCCAGCTACTTAGGAGGCTGAGGCAAGAAGATTGCTTGAGCCCAAGAGTTTGAGGTTGCTGTGAACTATAATGATGCTATAGCACTCCACCCAGGGCAACAGAGTGATACTCTATCTCAGAAAAAAAAAAAAAGAGAGAGAGAGAGAGAGAAAGAAAGAAATTCAGTACTGATATAATATTACCAACTAGTCTACAGTTCACATACCAATTTCCTCAACTGCTCCAATAATATCCTTTATTGATATTGGACAGAATCAGGCAGAGCAGGTGTGGGCTAATGCACCAGTCTTAGGGCCTCTTCTGGACCAAGATTGAATCTTGGTTCCCTAGTAGCATTTGATGTTGCCATCCCCTTTAATATGGGTCCGTTCCTCGGCCCACTTGCATACTTTCTTGCTTTTGAAATTGACAAAATGAGAGTATAGTGTGAGTCTTTGTCCTCAACAGCTCTGTTTCTTCAGGTCACTGCTCCCACAACTCAAACATTTCTCTAGAGATTATTTTCCAATTAGTCTACACAGTGCCCTCCCTCCCTGGTTCTAGATGTTAGACACATATGTGCCAGCATGCAGATGAGAATCACACCTGGCTAAATAGAATATGTCCCAAACCGCTTCCATCACCAGAGATGGACTCAGAGACGGGCAATCTGAGTAGTGAGATGTACAAATCACTTAATAGGATTCAACATTATACTCAAAAAAGCAGAAATCTTTTATGTCCCATTTCCTCAGGGCCAACTAGGCTGAGGTGTTATTTACAAGGACAGGGTAAATGATAATAGTAGGACTTAGCAAAGCCAGAACAACAGCAGTCCCTGTGATAGAATTGCTGTGACTTTTTGAACTCATGGTTTGTACTAAGCGATGACTTTCTTCAAGCAGACCAGCTCGCACTACTAATGTCAACTATAAGTAGACAGCAGCTGTGCTTCTGACATGCAGAGGCATCACAAAGGAAAAATATTTCTGGGAAATGGTATTTCTAAAATATACATCTTAGAAATTAAGAGTCTCGAAATCCTTTCTTTCTCTCTCTCTTTTAAATTTTGGATGAATGAATTTTGAGTTGTAAAGAAACGTGAATAAATGCTTCTAGTCTAGAATGAAAAGAAATTTCTTCTGAAATCTAGTACTTCATCTTCGTAGAGAACATGAATAGGGCTCTTTTCTCCCCTCCCTTTAGAGAGGAAAAGAGTAATTTTCCTGTCATGTTGAAGCGTTGCTGTGGTGCTAACGTGTCAGCATGTCGTTTGGGTAAAAACATTTAGTTGTGTTTTCCTTCTTCGGTTCCCCTGGCAGATGGGTAAATGTATCTGTATCTGTCAACTGGTGGACGTGGACATTCAACATCTTTGGCTTGGACCGTTGTTAACTTTGGTTCTCCTTTGCTCAGATCTTCCCTTCAGTGCTGTGGAAGCAAGCTGCAATTTTGAGGACGACCTCTGCAACTTTTACCAAGATAAAGAAGGTCCAGGCTGGACTCGAGTGAAAGTGAAACCAAACATGTATCGGCCTGGAGACCACACCACTGGCTCAGGTGAGCCTCTGTCTGTCCCTGTGTGGACTTCTCAGGTAGTCTTCATGCCTTCTCAGCCATCCTTCAGTCACACCTACAAAGACATTGGCTTTAAAGAAAAATAAAAGGGGGGCAGCTGTGAAGAAGGAAAGACAATAGATAATCTTGTGTTTGACTGTTTGTAAAAATTTGAGTTCAAGTGGCTGTGCTAGCAAATGTTATTTGCCAGTTAATTATTAAATAACTAAATCTCTAGAAATTATTTGGCTCGTCACTTTAGATGAAATCGTGGGCCAGGTGCAATGGCTTAGGCCTATAATTCTAGCACTCTGACAGGCGACGAAGCAGGAGGATCCCTTGAGCTTAGGAGTTCAGTAAGACCAGCCTGAGCAAGAGCAAAACCCTGTCTCTGCTAAAAATAGAAAAATTAACCAGGTGTAATGGTCCACTCCTGTAGTCCCAGCTACTCTGGAGGCTGAGGCAGGAGGATTGCTTGTGCCCTGGAGTTTGAGGTTATAGTGGGCTATGATGCTGTCACTGTACTCTAGCCTGTGCAACAGAGTGAGACTCTGTCTCAAACAACAAAACAACAAAAGAATGAATCTTCATGTACATGAAATCTTCAGAGCAAACAAATCCACAGGGATAGAAAGCAGATTAGTGGTTGCCAGAGGCTGGGGTGGGGAGAATGGAGAGTGTTTAGTGAGTATGGGGATTCCTTTTGGAGTGATGAAAATGGTCTGGAACTAGATAGTGGTAATGCTTACACAGCAATGCAAATGCACTAAATGCCACTTTTGAATAAATAGGAAAATTTGGCTACATTTTAAAAAAGTCTGTTGTTGGGGGAGGTTATTGGAAAATGCAGGGTAGATACTTGATGGATATATCTGCAAGGAGCTCTTAGAAACCTGAGTTTGAGCAGTGCACTACCTGTATAGTTATTACCTATTAATTTCATGACATCTTTTGTGGAGCCTATTTCAGTGGAGACAAGTAGAAGAGCTTGGTTTCAGAGGGTTTAGCATCTCATCCATTTACGTAGCAAGTACATTATTTGTATACTAGGCACAAGGGTGAAGTTATCATGAAGCTGATGAAGCTTAAGTTGCAGGGCCCCTCACCAGTATAGCCCTGGGAAAGACCTTGAAAGGGGCCCTCACAGTTTTGTACTTGTAATTTTGTATTCTGTTTTTTAGAGGTTGCCTCACTTATAGGAATTCAGGTCATAAAATCCATTCTGACCATGAGCAGACTAACTGGAAAATCATCTCCAGAGAAACATTTGAGTTCTGGGAATAGAGAGCTGATGAAACAGGGAGCTGTGTAGGGACAAAGACTCTTTTCAAAGCAAGAAAAATACTCAAGTGTGTTAACACCCAGGTACTACAATAGTCAACAGATCTGATATGAATCCTAACCTTGGTGGCTGACAATCATTGCGGTGGGCAAGAGAAACATCAGACAAATGTATACACAGATAAACTTATAATTACAAGTTTTGGTAAGTGCTATTGGGAAAGAAAAATTTTTCCTCTGCCCTCTTAGGTTCTGCGACGGGGCCTGAGAATTCAACTGATGTTAAGATAAGACAGGCTAACAGAGGAAAAACATGTAAATTTTGTTTAATATTTTTTTTTTGAGACTCACTTTTTTTTGAGTCTCACTTTATTGCCCTCAGTAGAGTGCTGTGGCATCACAGCTCACAGCAACCTCCAACTCCTGGACTTAGGCGATTCTCTTGCCTCAGCCTCCCAAGTAGCTAGGACTACAGATGCCCTCCACAATGCCCAGCTATTTTTTTTTGTAGTTTGGCTGGGGCCAGGTTCTAACCTGCCACCCTTGGTATATGGGGCTAGCACCCTACCCACTGAGCCACAGGCACCGCCCTACACAGGAGGCTTTGTAAAGGAAAAAATGAAAACTCAAAGCAGCAGATAGGCCTGGGAGCTTATATACCATTTTTTACAAAGAATGATGGAATTACACTTAAGTGACAAGACAAAGGAAAAGGTTTTAAGTTCTAGGGGCAGTAAATTATGGGAAAGTGACTAGAAAATATATGGGGGAAACTAATGAAAGATAAGGATTATTTTAATAAGTTTGTTTGTACAGATCCATTTTTGTGTTATTTATAAGAACATTTATAAGAATGTTCTTCTTGGCCAGGTGCTGAGGCTCAAGCCTATAATCCTAGCACTCTGGGAGGCTGAGGTGGTCGATTGCCTGAGCTCTGGAGTTCGAGACAGCCTGAGCAAGAGCCAGACTCAATCTCTATTAAAAATAGAAAAAGCTAGCCAGGTGTAGTAGTGCATACCTGTAGTCCCAGGTACACAGAGGCTGAGGCAAGAGGATGGCTTGAGCCCAAGAGTTTGAGGTTGCTGTGAGCTATGATGCTAGGGCACTCTACCAAGGGTGACAATGTGAGACTCTCAAATAAATAAATAAATAACAAAATGTTCTTCCTTTCCTGATATTTTCAGGCCTGTTTTCCTTTAAGTGAGGCAACCTCTTAAAAAAAAAAATACAAAATTACAAGTACAATTGTTTCCAGGGAGGACAACTAATTCATGGGAAATTTTATGACCTGCTTTTAGGTAGAAAGTGGGAGGCCAGAGACTCCTTCCTAAATTTGCTGTTTTTCAAGTGCCTTCAGCTCAACATAATCAATATGCTAGTGGGGTGTGTTTGGGGATGGAATGTTCTGATCCCCTTTGGAAAATGAAGGAAAGGAAGAAGGAGCTTTGAGGGAGAATAGAGGGAAGAATCTAGTTTGGGTGGAGGATTCACAGGAGTTTTGTCTGCGGGAAGCTGCATTTAGCTGAGAGGGGTGAGAGTGATCCAGGCAAAAGGAACCGCATTTGTGAAGGTCTTGAGTTTGGGAAGAGAAAGCCACTCGGAGGAATAGGAAGGTCAGTGTGGCTGGAGCTGCACTGTGGGGAGGCAGGGTGGAGAGGGTAGAGGAAAAGGAAGTTGAAGAGGGACATAGGTCATGGATGTTGCAAGCCTGAGTAAGGGTTTGGGAGTTTTATAAAGGAAACAAGAAGGCCCTGAAAGGTTTTAGCAGAGAATGCCTCTCTTGAGGCCTCACTTCCTGGCTTACAGACGGCCTCCTTCTTGTTATATCCTCACACGATTTCTTTGTGCATGGAGATGACAGAGAGCTCGTGTGTGTCTTCCTTTTCTTATGAGTTAAACAATGGGGTAAATCTAAACCATATTGCAAAGACCAATGTGCCCACAAGAGAATTGTTGGGGGAACAAACAGAAAAGGAAAAAGAAAAAAGTGGGGTATTATCATTTTTCTTTTCTGCCCTAGCTTTCTGGGATACCTGGACCTGTTTTAAGTTGACTGTGGGGGTGTGGGGTGGAAATAAGAGGGGGAGGCTCCTGATCTTATTTTTCTTTATGTCATTTAGGAGAAAATAAGGGGCGAACACAGATCTTTACCACCTAAGGAGGACTGATTAAAAACTTGCTCTACAGGAACAGGTTTAACATTTGACCAGAGTTAAGAAGGAAATATCTGCTCTGGGGCATCTTTCCCCTATGACCAGCATATAACCCAAGTCAGCCAGGAGTCCCTGGATGAGCTCATCCTTTTTGTTTGAAAAATGTAAATGACTAATAGAATCTAGGGATATGCAGCAGAAAATCTGTACTGGTTTATAAAGTTTACTTAGAATCTAAGGTTTTGAATAGAGCAGCGGTTCTCAACCTGTGGGTTGCAACCCCTTTGTAACAGTGAAAATACATCCTGCATAGCAGATATTTACATTATGATTCAAAATAGTATCAAAATTACAGGGTCGCGGCATTAGGAAGGTTGAGAACCACTGGAATAGAGGCACATAGATATTTTCTCTCACTTAAATTATAGACATGAGAAAATGCTTTGGAAAGCCTATGGAAATAGTCTGTGCCAGAAAATTCCACATTTTGTCACTTGCCAATCTATTTTAATAGATTAGATTGTTTTGCATTGCTGTTACATCAAATGCTTTGTCTTGCTCACAGGGTATTACTTGCTGGCCAACACAAAGTTCACATCTCAGCCTGGATATATTGGAAGGCTCTATGGTCCTTCCCTACCAGGAAACCTGCAGTATTGTCTGCGTTTCCATTATGCCATCTATGGGTTTTTAAAAATGAGTGACACTCTAGCAGTTTATATCTTTGAAGAGAACCATGTGGTTCAAGAGAAGATCTGGTCTGTGTTGGAGTCTCCAAGGGGTGTTTGGCTGCAAGCTGAAATCACCTTTAAGAAGCCCATGCCTACCAAGGTACAGTAGCAGTAGTGTATCCTTTGCCAGTGTTCAGTTGTTGTGAACTTGTGTTTAGCTACTGTTTTTCTTCTGTTCAGGCTGACAGCCCTACCCCCAGCTATGTGCAAATTAATCTTTCATTTCTATTCTGTTTTCCAGGTCTCTGAATCATGACAACCTAGAGAGTTTGGGTTTTATTTCCATCTCTCTCTCTCTTTTTTTTTTGAGATAGAGTCAGGCTGGTCTCAAACTCCTGAGCTCAAACAGTCCTCCCACCTCAGCCTCCCAGGGTGCTAGGATTATAGGTGGGAGCTGCCAAGCCCTGAAAGATTCCCTGAAAATAATCCAAAGACTGGGAATATATGAATAGTCCAAGTTCATCAGCTAAACTTTAGTTTGAAGCTATAACTCTCTTTCTCTCCCTTTCTCGTACACACATGCACACATCAATGGAAATGCTAGTATTAAAAAGGGGGGGGAGTGAAATCAGGGAGCCTCTACATTGAGGCTTTAAGCTCAAAAACCTAAGGCTCAGCATTTAACACAAGGTGATGAAGCCCTTTAAAAAATATGGAGCCAGCTCCACCCCAGAGAGAATTTAAGTAAGGGAGCCATCAGCAGCTCATTTTGATAGCAAAGAGAAGACTTTTAAAAGAGATCTTTATGGCAAGGGGAATGCAGGGGAAAGCTGTAATCCCCCAAGTTTAGCAACTCATAAACTTAAGGAAGTTTTACAGATGCAATAAATTCTGCCAGCTACAACCCAGATATGAAAATACTTTGGGAAAATTCACTGTGTTTCAGCCTTTTAATCAGCAAATATCTCTTGAGTATCCTCTCTGTGCAAGAAATGGGCCCAAAGAATGATAAAAGAGGCTTTTCCCGTTAAACAGATAACTCACACAATGGAAGCTCAATAAACATTTTTGAATGAAGGGATAATCACATGAATTATACAAGAATTACCCCAAGTCCAGGCTCGCCAGGGGAAGCTACAAACCTGGGAGGGTTGCAGAACCTTCCCAAACATTCTGGACTTCTCTTAGCGAGAACCATCTGGATAAATCAGAGCTGTGTCCATCTATAACATTCTGCTAAGGAAATTGGGTACACCAATCCTTTCACAATGTCACTTGGTTACTTTTAGTCTATTGATAAACACCCACCAGGACATGATTAAATCTTTACAGTGATTAATCAAAGATCTCTGACAATCTTTACAAAGTTGTTCTTTTCCATTGCTAGACAGGAATGGCATGGCAGCCTCCTCGACTAAAAGGGTAAAGCCAATTTATAATACTTCCAGCAGAGAAGCATACAAATTTTACCATAATCTCCCAGGCACTGCTTGTTTATTAGTTTTATGCTAATTAAATAGGTAGCTGTCTTGTTGAAGCTGTCCCCTGCCTAATTCCTTCACATTCTGTTCACTTGACTAAACAGACATTTGGCTCTGCTCCCTGGGTGAAAGAAAAAACAAATTGGTGTTTCCATTGCCAAGTTCTACCTGTAGCCTAGGCTCATGCTTTTTAAGCTTATTTCCTAGACAATTCCAAATATTTTTTGAGTGAGCCTTTTTTCCTACAAAGGTCATCTCACACTGGCAGTATTTTTGAATTTCCTCTTTACTCCCTTAGTCCTGGAGAAGTTCAAGCCTGTCTGTGCCTTTGAGGGATCCCAAAGGCTTAACGAGCATTCCCATTACCAATTATGTAACTCTTGAAAGTAGTTATAGTAATATACACTCTCTCTCTCACACATACACACACACACAAATAGACATGCATCAGTCACACAATCAGGGACACACCAGAAAGTAATGGAATTTTTGCTTATATTTTTAAAAAAGGAGGCTGTAATAAGCATTTTTGTTGACTCATTTGGCTTTTATTTATTCATTTTCCTTTATTCAGCCAGCATTTATTAGGTATATGTTCAGTGCAAGTTATATAAAAATGAATGAGTGATATTCATGTGTCTAAAAATGATGAGTGATGAATGAGTGATGTTTTGGGAAATCCCAAAGAAGTGTTACAGGTACTTAAAGACTCATCAGCAGATCCTACCCTTGAAGAGATCACATATGATAGAAGATTAAGTAAGCAACTCATGAGAGTACACGTGTCCTGTCACTGTTCCTCAGAGGGGCTGCACAGAAGGATTGAGGAATAGTTATTTTAAAAAATAATGACCAACAGAAACCCAACTGAGCTGGTGTTTGAAGGGTTAAGGTTCAGCCCGCTGGAGTCTGACCCCTGCTCAGCACTATACTGTTCTTCTTCCTATGTCCTCTACTCACAGACACTGGGCCTGTTTAGGAACCTGCCCATTCCTTTACAGTGAACACTTGCTCATACCTGACTCTCATAAAGCTAGGGTCCCGTCTAGAGGCTGACTGCTGCTTCCCAGCACCTGCACAGTCCCTCCTGCCCCTCTTCCCATGGTTCCACTCAAAGAAAAATGGATCCACCCTGTAGGAGACTTCCCTGTCTTCCTACAGTACTTGGAAGAAAATACTCCAGATTTTCTGCCCTGGTGCAGATGAGGAGACAGTATAGTTCAACACTTGAAAATTCTGGATACATGGATACAAGTCTGAAGGTGGCCCGTAGTTCTCATCAGGCCCCTGATGAATAGAACTTGCTCCTCAGAGGGTGAGAGAACCCCTTGATATCGATCACTGAGGCCTGCATTAAGTAAGGCAGGAAACCAATGTTCCCTCACTTACATAACATCTGGAAATAAACATACAAAAAGTATTTAAGACAAAGGATAAAATGAAAAGTCAGATTTGTTTTTGTTTTTTTTGAGACAGAGTGTCACTTTGTCACCCTCAGTGAGGGCGGTGGCATCACAGCTCACAGCAACCTCAAACTCTTGGGCTCAAGCGATTCTGTTGCCTCAGCCTCTGGGGTAGCTGGGACTACAGGCACCCTCCACAACCTCCAGCTATTTTTAGAGATGAGGGTCTTGCTCTGGCTCAGGCTGGTGTCGAACCTGTAGGCTCAGGCAATCTGCCTGCCTCGGCCTCCTAGAGTGCTAGGATTACAGGCATGAGCCACCATGCCCGGCCTCACTTTTTGTTTTTCTGATGGTTTTTCTTCCTGATTTTCTGAAAGCTTGCTCTATTATTCTAAATATTACATTCCCACCTTCCTTTTTTGACTCATTAACCATGAAAGATAAGGAGTTAACTTACCTATACTATTCTTTTTCCCTCTCTCATTCACATTTTTATAAGTTATGTTTTTATTTCTTTAATTTACTTGTTTTTTAACTGAATAGTTAGTTATGAGGATCTTAGTGATATTTGGGGAAATTCAAAAGAAGTGTTACAGGTACTTAGAGACTGACTCATCAGCAAAAAGACACATAGGAAACCAAAGTTAAAAACAGAAGGTTTCATTCATCAAATGCCTATTTCATGAAGGACATGACAAGGTTGGGGGTATAGCGATGGAAAAGACAAATCACTGGCCCTTGAGAATCTTGGTCTAATGAAGTAGATTGACAAAGAATCTAGCCTCAAGGTGGGCATGTTTGTGGGCCTACATTACTATGGATTGTTATTTATATTCCTACAATTAAGCCTTCTGTGCTTAAGCATATGGCTGGATTTCCCACTGAGGGCCTCCTTGGCATTTTCAATAGGACAGTTTTGCCTTAGTGTGGGGCCATCCCTCACATCACCAGGTTTTTAACATCTGAGTCAAAAGCTCTACTCACATTTGGGTTACTTGGGAGTGAATGTGGGTGTGCACCAGGCCTTCAAAGCAGGAGTCGCTAGCTAGGTATGGTGGCTCACACCTGTAATCCCAGCACTTTAAGAGGCTGAGATGAGAACTGCTTGAGGCCAGGAGTCTGAGACTAGCCCAAGCCACATAGTAAAATTTAATCTCTGCATAAAAAAAATAGTCCTAACTATTCTGAAAGTTGAGGCAGGAGGATCTCTTGAGTCCTGGAATTTGAGGTTGCAGTGAGCTATGATGATGTCTCTCCACTCTAGTTCAGGAGACAGAATGAGACTCCATCTTTAAAAAAAAAAACAAAAAAAAAACAAGAATTCCTGCTGAAACTTTGGAAGATCTCAGTGACATCAAAGTTTGTTACAGCTTGACAATGGAACTTTTTTTTTTTTTATTAAATGTTAGCTGTGTACATTAATGCAATCATGGGGTACAGTGTAGTGTTTTCATATACAATTTGAAATATTTTCATCAAACTGGTTAACATAGCCTTTATGTCATTTTCTTAGTTATTGTGTTAAGACGTTTATATTCTACTTTTAGAAAGATTCACTTGTAAGAGAAACCATAGTTGACAATGGAACTTTCAGTGCCAGAATCGAGTTTGGATTGAGCTGATAATGAGGACCGTTTCCAGTTTTAAGCAGACAAAAAGACATAAGAGATAGAGGACATATCTTGACACCACAAAATCCATTAAAACACATTCATTAGGTGAATATTGAAAGTCATGTTATGAATAGCATTACTTTTCTTAAAGTTTCTTTGTTAAACTTAACAAAGATAAAAGTCCTAAGGGTTACAGAATGGGATTCACACCTTTGAGGTTGATGGCTTGACATTCAGCTGTCAACTAATATTTGAGAGACTACTCTGTGCCAGGCACTTCTCAGCACACAATAGTAAACAAATGCCCTTTTTCAAGTTATCCTGGCATTGCACCTTCCCAGCACCCACAGCTGGCCCCTCCACCTTTGTTTGGAGATCTGCAGCTTATACCGGCCCAGGCAGAGGCCACAGGTGGAAGGGCTGTTTTTGTTTTGAACTTTTCCCTTGGTTCTCTGTAACTTTAATACACTTAACCATCATATGGATCATAAACTTTAGGCAGTGTCTCTTGACACCCCGCTATGTAAGATGCATACATTTACACCCCTATACTCCCTTTCCTTCTGTGTCCCCTCCACTTTCCAAATTCTCACAGATATACAATTACTTTTACATTGCAGTTTCATTCCTGCTGCCCTGCAGTCTGCCCTCTGTTTGGCAGCA